CTTTCGAACCTCCTTGTTATATTTCTGTGTATATTCGTTAAATATAATCGTACTCTTTGAATCGATCTCTAGTTGAGTGTTCGGTTTATCTATCGTTCGTTGGTTTGTGTTAGTGAATTATTCGTGGAATCGTTGGAACTCTTGTTCGTAGATTCGAGTCTCTTTGTTAGTACTGTGATTAAATCGTGTTGCTTCGGAGAATCGTTGTATTTTTTCGGGTCGTCTCGTTCGTATTCGTGTCGTTCGAGCCTTGAATGTCGTTTTGTTTAATCGTCCAAAAAAAAAGGAACGGTTTTTAAAGTATTCTGAACTCTGAGAAATATGTATCTTTCGAATATGCATGATTTTTTTTACCGAGCCTGAGGTGCCGTTGAATTTTGTGAGTTTGGTCATAAATCATTTTGCAGCTTCTATAACTTTTCCCAAGTATGTACTCTGTTTTTTTTTCTTCCCTGTTGTCGTCCCTTTTTGTTTTAATTTACCAGCAAACTATTCCGTTAAAAAGAAGAGATTTCGTTTAATGTTGCATCCTAGAGTGTGGTGCAGCGGTTGTCTGCGTTGCCATCCTTGAGCTTGGTCATTGGTTCGAACTCCAGCCCCTGCAGAATATTTTTTTTATTAAGTACCAGCTGTTCCAGACGCGCGGGCTTCTTAGCCCGCATTAGGCCCGCGCGCGGCCCATCCTTGTGTCAGCAGAGGAGGCCCGCGAGCCCGCGTCCCGGCCCAGTGGAGGCCCGAGTGCCTTCAGCCCTTATGGGTGTTGGGCCAGCCCCTTTAGGCCCAATGACCGCGCACTCAAGCCCAAACCCGCAGCAATTAGTGTGTAGTGGCCCAATTTGACTTCGTTTTGTGTCCTGAAAACTTATTTTTCGGCCGGAACTTATTTCCAAATATTATTTTAAAATTATTTTTAAATTTAGAAAAATTTGAGAAAATTATTTAAGTCCCGAGACTCCAATTTAATTTTCCGAGTCCCATTTTTCAAAAATGAGAGAGTTCCAAGTCCACGAAAAATTCGATTAAAACCCTTAAGTCTTAATTTTTATTAAGTATGGCTTTTATGTTAAATTTGAGTAGTGAGATAGATTATTGATATATTATCTCGCCTAAATGGGTGTTTGAGGAGTCGAGCCCTCGACCTATGTACTTGCTTTTGAGTGATATTCTACCGCAATTTCCAGGTGGGTTTACTTATAAAATTGTCTATGCGATACGTGTTATTTAATGTTTAGTTGGTATGACCAATGTATGAATGTGAACCATGTGGCCTACCGATGTGAGCTGTTACGTCCGTCGGTACGGTTGTCCCCGTCGAGTTACGATACGGTTGCCCTTGCGAGGCAAGTCTCCTTAAGACCTAATGAAAGGCAGTGTCCGTTACAGTGGCACGCACTCCCGTCGTTAGGGTTTATGCATCCCCTTTCCGCGGCTAATGATAGATGTGCACATGAGTGAGTTATTGTTGTGATTATTAGGAGATGAGACATGATGATGATTGATTTATATTCATGCTGCGACCATACCATCTTTACATGTTATTATGTGCATAGTAGTGAGCACTACTTTATCATTTGTGCTCATTCCCACCTGCTCTTCACGGATGCAGGTTAAGTAGTGGCCGGGTGACGGGACAAAGGACGAGTGGTGGTCTATTATTTGTTTTGTTTTGCTTCCGCTTTAATAATATGGTCGTTATGAACCTTTCTATGTTTTGGACATGTGAAAACTGTTTTCGAACTATGTTTTGATATTTGGAAATATTTTGGAAAACCCTTTTATGAACCTTGAATAATAATGGTGTTTGATTTATGAGGTTTCAATTGTGCATATTGGATATTATGTTGAGGTGTGAATCAGGTTAATGAAAACCTTGTGAAAATTCGGGTTTATGAATCCCCATGGGTCCAGATAAGACTTGGACTAAGTAAATTGTTGTTTAACACCCATGTTGATTTCGAAAATGAATTCAAAAAATTTGTTCTGATTTTTAGAAAGTCCAGAATTTCTTTAAAATCAAAGTGGGGTGTTACATTAATTTTAACATTGGTAACAGGTTTAAGACTAGTGAATAAACTAGCATCATAAATCATATGATCTGTAGCACCTATATCAATAATCCAAGTATTTTTAGAGAAATTCCTAGACACTATACAAGAAAATGAGTTAGGAGTACCTGAAGCATTGTGAACTGCAGTTGCTACCATTGGGCTTGGTTCTGTGACATTGTTAGCCTCTTGATTCTTTTTAAATGCTAAAAACTCAAGAAAGAGCTCATTAGTCATGGAAGATGCATCATGATTCTGAGTATTGGTGTCAGGGACAGTGGTTGAGTGAGTAAGGTTAGCTGTTTGGGGTGAATTCTGGGGCCCTTTGGACTAATCCAGTTAGCAGGATAGCCATATACTTGGTAACATTTGTCAGAGGGATGTGGATAACCACAATGTGAACATTTTGGTCTTGGCTTTTTGTCTTTGGTTTTGTCAGAAGGGTGATTTTGAGTGTAGGATTGTTTCTGGGAATGAAACTGTGAAGTATGAGTTTTAGCTATCATAACCATGGGTTCAGAAACAAGGGAGTTGTTGGTTAAGGCTCTTTGAGATTCTTCTTGGAGTAACAGAGAGTATATTTTTGTGAGGCTGGGTAATGGCGTGGTTAACAGAAAGTGACTGTGGAGTGATGCATAAGAATCATGCAGACCAATCAAAAATTTCATCACACAGTCATGTTGTTGAGACTCAGCCATTTTCTCAAAAATACTGCAAGTACAGGTAGTAAAAGCACCACAATAACACCTAGCAATAGGCCTAAATGTGACATATTCATCCCAAAGACCCTTAAGAGAATTATAATATTGAGTGATGGTGAGAGAACCCTGATTCATGGTACTAAGGGACTTTTCCAACTGAAACACCCTCGGGCCACTACTAACAGCATATCAATTTTTCAATTCATCCCAAACATCCTTGGCAGAAGTTAAAAACAACAATGATTGACGAATATCTTTAGAAATGGAATTCAACAACCAAGACAAGACCAAGTTATTAACCCTAACTCAAGATATATACAGATTAGCATCAATAGTGGGAAAAGGCGATAGCAAGGTACCGTCGATAAAGCCACCTTTGTTCTTCACACTAAGGGCCATGACGACAGCGCGGGACCAACTGACATAGTTCTCGCTGTTGAGGAGCTCGGCGATGATGAGGGCTCCCGGATTGTCGCTGGCATGCAAATAGAACGGGCTGGATGGATCGTCGCTAGGGTTTTGAGAAGTAGACATACTGATTCAGATGAGAGATGTAGATCTAAGAGATGTAGATCAAGGGAAATAGAGATCACAGAGGCAGAGATCGAAGAAAATCGAACAAAAAAACCCTAAAAAATGACGAAGAAACGCGAGAAAATCTCAGAGATGGAGATTTCACGCAAAAATCTATGTGCAGAAGCGGGAAATCAATGGATCGAACGCGATTGATACCATATTAGAATAATAATCGAACAATAATCGAAGGTCTGTACAAGAGATGAAAGATTGAGGAAGAAGAAGAAGAGCGCAGCTCTGTAAATCAGAAAAGAACGAAAATAAAAAGTAAGAAGAAATATGAGGTGTGGTCCCTTTTATACTTAGGGTTACCACAATGGTATAATGGTAAATTTACAATTGCCTATAGTTGTTGTTTATACAAACAGCAACTTTAACACAAAGTCTAATATACAAATGCCTATAGTTGTTGTTTATACAAACAACAACTTTAACACAAAGTCTAATATAAAAATAACAACTCTATATATAATATTAATAATAACTGAACTTGTTTTGTTTTAATTTTTCATATTTATAATCAAACACTTGTTTCTAGTACTTCTTAGAAATTAAGTACTGAGTTTTACTTGAGGGATTCGAGAGTGCGAAGTCCACGACACATGGCCAGAGAAGTAGTTAGTATAATCGAGCCTAGTTGTGGCTAGGCTAGAAGGGAGTTCTAGTTTTATGAGCCCGAACTATGCAAGTGTGCACGATCGGTTTATCAATGAAAGATCTCTAAGGGGTAGTGGAACGCTCTTCGATGAGTTTATATCTCTTGACTTGTGCTTATGCTATTTCAATTAATTATGGTGTTGCTACATAAATTTAAAAGTTACAGATAAATTGTGTTCTAACAAAGTTGAGTGCACTCAACGGGTATGTTTCACATATGTACTTTGATTTTAAATAGGTTGCTTCATAAATTTATCCTCAAAAGCGATTGTCCATATATCATTCTGAGAAATTTTGATCTATATAATGAATTGTGCAGTGGAACAATAGTAACGTATCAATATATTTCTTATTTTCTTTAACAATGTAATAGATATGAGAATCGTGTTTGGACAACAAATCGTAAAACGAGCCCTTGTATATAACGTTCCATTTTTACCGACTGAAGATAAGACTTCAATTTCTGGTTTGTTTTGTTTTTTCATGACCATCAGTTAACCTCAAGGACAAAAAATAACAATATTGACATTTATTTTCCTTTTGTTTTTTTTTTAGGGAAAATCTTTGTTTGCTTCCAGAAACTTCAATATATATTTTTAAATGCTTAATTTAATTGGACAACACAAAGTCAAGGATATATATGAGCACTAATAATGTAGTTATTATAAAATAGTTTTACTCCAAAGCCTGACTAATATAGATTTGGACGAACAAAACAATTGTTATATCCTCCACCAATTCATTTGCTTTACAATTCATTTTTACTATATAATTTTATTAAATAGTAAAATCGTAGTTAATCAAATGAATTAGTAAATGAATTATTACCTGCACTTTACTAGTGTACAAAAAAGGCAGATATAGATGTACGAACAACTAGTACGGTCATCAATCATTTTTTTGGCCACGACAAGATGCAGATCACGGGAACACAAAACAAAATAAAAAAATAAAAAATAAAAAAAATGAATGT